ATAAATAATTCATGTCTCACAATGGAAACAGCAGTCTATGAATTAACTCTCAACTATTTTCGATACTAATCCTAACTCAATGACGAATAAACTCAAGAAAAAGAAAAAAAGACAATATCTTGGAAGAGTATTGCTATGAATTTATTCTTACGATAGAAAAGGAAAAAAGAAAATGAGAGAAGACGAATCGGTTTAACTTCTTTGTCCGCTTCCAGAGCTTTTTCCTCTTTTTGTCAATACAATAGTCTATCGTAAAAAAGAATACTCAAGTGAGTTTATTATATATTCGACAGGGTGAACGCATCGATTGTCATCCTTTAGTCGATGCTTAATCATATACATATATCTTAACACGTATGAACAGGAACATAACCATTATAAAAAGAATCAGCGATACAATTTTAATCAATGTACATACAGACGCTTTATCATCATCTACAGATCAATGAAAACTTCATGAAATTTCAATTAAATCTTACAATACGAAATTCAGTTACGTGCTTGAGCAATATACACAACGTGCGAGTTATTCGCGCTCTCCTATCCGACGGACGGGGCTCGCGCGTGCACAAACAAGCCTTGCCACCAACTCTCAAGTACTATTAAATTGCACAAAACAATATTAACACGCTATGAAGACCACCTCACTAAGCGATATACACGCCTCTTCGAACGCAATCTCGATAGGTGGTGTACAATTGTGGCAACTTTTCAGGCACTAATTGTACATTTGACAATGAGAGCTTCTAAATAATTGTGAAATACCTTCGTAAATCACTGAAAAGCCAAATACCACTCTAATCTAATACAAAATCCCTCGGAAACTGTAACCTATACCTATTACAAATATACAATGCTAACTTTATTTGTAATTACGTACAGATGAAGAGATCTGTACGTAATTTTCTAAATCAAAATTTCGAAAATAAATAGGCTGTAGAAAAATGACGGAAGTTTGCAAATGTTCGTTTGTTATCACTGCCTGAAAAAAGTACGATCTGGTTGTCTGCTATAGAAATATCGAAAAACATCGGCAAGAATGGGGGATCGGGCATTGATGTGTCTGTTTCGATGACTTTCGATAAGGCTCACACAGCCAGACGCACAGGAGGCACGATAACTTTGTCTATTCGCGGTTCTGAGCAAATCATTATGCATCCAGATTATATGTCGAGATTGCGTTTAATTTATTTTTTCTAATTATCGCTCGGAATTGTGAGCATCGTGGAATAGTCGTGTAAATTGAAAGTGGAACAAATTGAACTCTAAACTGTTCAACTATTTATCTTAGATTTATTAATGCTACCGATGATTAAGAAAATACGGTTTAAAAGGAACTTCACCTTATTCATCGGTCATTCGTCGACCGTTTAAGACGTGTCTTAAAAAGCAATCTTCCCTTTTTTGAATTTCGAGTTTTAGCTAAACGCAATCTCTATGAAATAGATTTCACATGAATAAAACTGCGTGAATATGTAGAAAAGTCATCCTACATCGTCTACGAATTTGTTTTCTTCTTTTAATGGAATAAATTGCAGCGTTTTCGATTCATGTGTCCCGATAAAAAGAAATGATCGATTATTGAAAATCTATATTATTCATAATTTTGATTAAAGCAATTTAGTGTTGAGAAGTTAAGTCTATGGCTCTTTTGTAAAAAGTCTTATTCACATTATCACAGTTATTATGTACCTTTTGCATATTGACGTAAAAATTTGGCGAAAAATATATTAACAAATTACAGGTTCAATGGCTAATGCAATTAAACTACATCGAGGTCAATACATGTAAATTTACATACAGGATTCTTTTTTTTTTTTCAACGGGATTGTAGTTATCAAATGCTGACTCGAAACATGATAAAAAAATCTACATACGAATGAATCTACTGAATATATGGCACGTTCTTTTTGGCATAAATAATTCCTACAACTAAATTACTTTTAGATCTTTGGATGTAGCCTCTTGATTATCCAAACAATTCGTGTTAACTTCACATACCATCTTACGATTAAAAAATATACACATGTATGTACGTGCTTAAATGAAAAACAGATACAAAATAAATTTCTTTCGCCGATCCAAGCGCAGTTAAAAGGATAAGATGACTCGCGTGCAGGCCTTGATCGATTAATAAATGGTAACTTTGTTGCACGAATCGTTGTTAGAAATAGAAAACGCTTATTCTTCTCGCAAGACACTGTGGTTTGTTTATGTATACATACTTAGAAGGGTGCGACGGTAAGATTATACCTGCCAGCAGATGATACCGAACACGCAGCAGTTGTGAACTTCTAGGCTCTTGTACTCGAGGTCCTCCAAGAAAAGTGGATACTCGATGTTTTATGGCATATAACCAACGATGGTGACACGTGGTTGCATGCCACATGCGTTGTACTTAACGCGTCGTCTGCCCATCGAGTTTCTCGATAGCTTGAACGAGTTTACCGTCGCCAATGTTTCGGGATACTTCGGGCTCTTGGGGCAATACTTGACCGTGTGGGCGAAGTCTCCAGTCGCACCACACTTTGGGCACGTGTAGGCCCTAATAATCAACGAGGAAAAAACGGTGTTGGTAACACATTTTTTGCCTCTCAAAGGTCTTTTTTTTTTTTTAAGCAAAAAATATTGGAAAAGAAAGAAAAGTCGGAAAATTTAGATTTACCTCAAGACTGGACAAGAGATGAGACCATCAGCGTTTTTCAGCAAGTGTTCCCTGTAGTAAGCCTCCTGTTCACCATTGTTTCTACAGAAAACGCATTCTGTAGGCAACGGTTTCTTATTTTTCTTGCGGCGCTGTGTCATTTCTGGCATTGTACCATTGTCCAAATCTGGACAGTATTCAAAATCGCGGCCATTATGACGGAACTCCTCCATTACATCTTCAACTACAATCATCAAGTGAAATTACAAAGATAGTACCACCAAAATCCACAAAAAATGTAAAACAATGTGTGTAAAAAAATTCCATGTAATTTATTAATGACTATAGTGTAAACAATATTCAACAAACAAAAAAAAATAGATTATGAAAAATTCCCGACGATAATAGAATAATATAAAATGATGAAATGCTTGGATTATTTTCATCTAAACTTTTTTCAAGGAATGTCTGTCACAGATCGAAAGGCGAGAAAATAACCGCCTCGAGTATCGAATTACACGGTTTGTAAACAGAATCGTCCTGATTTTTCAAATGACGCAGAAACAGCGTTAGCTTCTAACCGAAAATAAATAATAAATGTTATAAACACTGTATCGTCACCTTTTAATTTAAAACCCATCTGAAAATTACAAAACACTTTACGACATTCCACGTTTCAATTTCATATAAATATGTTTCTAAACACCACTGTTGTTATTATTATTATTGGCGTACATACGACATGTACATCTTGTACACATTCGATTTAATAAAACGATTACATAAATAAATTAAAAAAGACACGTTTAAAAATATGTTTTGCTATTATATCTAATCTTATTTCCGTGTTCATTTCCCGGTAATCCCATTCCTGAACTCAAAATATGCAAAAAAAAAAACGGAAGATCTAATGTTTACATTTCTATCAACGAACATTTGATGGCAAAGAGGAGACATTTGTTTCCAGTTTATCTTTCGAAAAAACTAACGATCGACGTATTAAGATTGTTATAAAGTACCGGTATACAATGAACAAATAAGTAAAAAACATGCATGTAAAACCAGAAATTGTTTTTAGGTATAAGTTCGTGGGGTATGCGACACAATTTGGGAAATCGCCTAAGATAATTTATTCTACAGCACGTTTTACAATATAGAATTCCCCTTATATCAATTCGTTTATTTACAAACTGTGGAAGGTGTCTGCCGATCGGGCTATAATTCGATGACGCATAATGACGTACAATGGTAGTACATATACAGGTTTTGAAATTGAAACATGATACTGTCATGGTGGTATTTAAAATGATTATCAGTGAGTGGTGAAAAAGAATAGATTTTTGAAAATTTTAAACTATAGTAGACTCCCGTATAATGCAAGCGTAAATATGTCACTTATTTAAAAAAAAAAACTGTCCTATTTGATAAAACATAGAAAGTAAAAATTGTCATGGCAATAACCATTGCAAACATGTTACTTTAGATTATTCGCGTTATATGAGAATAATTCTCGTACAGCACGATTTCCTATAACGTGAATTCATACAACACGTAACGTATTAATCGCGTTATACCGAAATTTACTATATAAGTACAATTTCTTGTTTTGTATCGAAACACAGATATAATTGGCGATCACAGTTTAGTAATAGAGAAAGAAGAAGCAAAAAAGTATAGGACGAAATAAGTGAGAATTTGCTGGAAATTCAATGAAACAAAACAAAGTGTATAGTTATAAATTATAAAAAGGTCGTGATTATTAAATTTTAATAGAAAATGTTGATTGAAAATTCAATTAGGATTGCACAAAGCAGAATCTCTTGCGTAATAATTTACGACGCAAAAAGATCATACTATATTTTGTAACGCAATGTCATACGATCTACATAAATTTTAAGATCCCAAAAACGTAAAAGTAATTGTCAAAACAAAATAATTATTTCACAGCTACTAAGTATAAGCTAAAATTAATTAAACGTTTCTGATCCATTGATTTTCGTCAATAACGCTCGAAAATTTTTTCAGCAATTTCAACATTTATTCTATATTAATATAATACTTAATACATATCGACTTACCGTTCGGAAGAGGTGTAGTTTGTGTTTCGACCGTGAAATTGGCGAATAATCTTTTGATTTCCTCTTCAAGGCTAGTGTTGAACGGGTAAAAGAAGTTCGATACCTGTGGCATCGGAAGCTTTTGCATGAGTGAGACATGCATCGTGAATCGGGAGAAATGCCTTGAGAAGAAAAATACCACAAAATAACCGCGTGCACGCAAGGAAAAGACACGGAGAACAAAAATCGCGAACAAGTCGAGAGAATCGTCCCCATCTAACATAGATGGGTTTCGAAATTCAACTGCCGAGCTACTATGTCACCGTGACTGACGATCGCGAAGAAAGGGTCCGGTGGTGGGGATGGTGCCATTGCTTGGGCCCGTCCTCATAAATGTATCATTGTCGTCAGAAAAAGCGGCCAATTTAAATTAGAAAGTTCATTTAATAACTGTAATACACTTGAACTTTAAATTGCATGACTTTTGTTTAATGTAGAAAATAGATAAAATACGACAAAATCTATACGATTTGAAATTGATTTGAATGTCGGCAATTAATGAAGTATAGAACAAAATCGTGAAAACTATGAATTGGTAAATTATCGTGGATTTAAAAAATTGAAGTTTTCAGTAATCAGATTTTCCAAAAAGTTTTATTATAGGTTAAATATTGATAATGTAATACAGTAGAGCGTCAGTTATCTGAACCAATTGGGACTGAGGTGGTTCCGAAAATCGAATTGTTCGGATAATCAAACAGTTCACTTAATGAAATATATGCATGTACTTACCCAGTTTATAACTATAGGAATGAAGCCTAAAATTACTTACTGATGAAAATATTTAAAAAAAATGCTTTGAAGTAACAATATACATTTATTAAGAAAGTTTATTTCTTTCACTATACCATAAGTTTGTTTACTTCTCGAACCGATGGTTTGGATAATCGGGGTTCGGATAACTGACGCTCTACTGTATTTCTAACGTGATCTTCAGTCAAAAGATCGGATTACGATCAAACAAATCCCTGATATCGATATGTTTCTATTTACACTGTATAGAAACGGACGAAATCGCTTTGATCTCGCCGTGTGACGGTGGTGACGTTAGATTGTAATTTAAGTCCATAAACGTTATATTTCCAGGCTACGAAAGAAGACACAATTTTTCGCTCATTTATTTTTAATGTCAAGTATTGCATATATCAGCTTTATGTATATAAAAATACTGTGAAAAACGATCAGTTCGCATTGCGGTACTTTTTAACGATCATCCGATGCGTGTCTGTTATACTTATAAAAAGCGTATCGCTTACGGGCGACCAATGGATCGAAATCGAATCTTCTTGGTGAAAAAAGAGACAAAAAAGGATATTCACTAATCTTCATCTTTATTGTTACTGTGTAAATATGTAGGCACTGAACAAATAATGTTTCATAATTTGTTTACAAACATTTACATTTACTGATCTCCTTTTCTTTTTTTTCTTTTTTTTTTTGTTCAATCATTGAATATTCTCTGCGAGCAGCTTGGCCAACACACATTTGACCAAGTCCGCTTTTAATCCATCTGCTCGACCTTTTTCTTCTTCTTCTTCTTCATTTTTTCTTTTTTTTTGTTCTCAACATCCTTACGCGTAAATACCATTATCGTCTTTCAGCATTGTATGCGCTCGACTCAGTTTCTAATTACGATCT